CTCTCTCTCTCTCTCTCTCTCTCTCTCTCTCTCTCTCTCTCTCTCTCCCCATCACTCTCTCTTGTCTGTGGTCTTCACTTCTTTTCTCTCCAATCCAGCTGTAATGGGTAAAGGTCAGTATGTCTGCTCTCTCCTCTTGTGCTGTCAGTGTTCATGTCTGTTGCTGTGGTACTTATTAGCGCCTAATGAGCAGTCGGCACAGCACTGAAACAGCTGGTGGAGAAAAAAACGCAGACACAAGAGGAAAGAAGATGGCCTCAGACTCAGCAAATTCAACCAGCATCTATTTCCTATCGATAAATCTGATTTTAAAAGTTGTAGGAATCAAATAAAATCATGTGGAATTTGGATTGTTTATTGGTGTTGTAATTTTTATTTGCTGTAGTACATGCTGTCATGTTAGTATAAAGGTCACAAAGACATGAGGAACAGCTTCACAACTTTCAATGTGACAAGAAAACAGATGCAGTCAAGTTCCAGAAACTCTTCTTCATGTTTATATTTTTTTAAACACACATTCCTGTAATTTATACTTGACTTGAATATCCCCTTTCACAAGTGGAAAACGGGAAACTAACACATTTACAAATGAATTAGGCTTGAATGCTGTATTTTTGTTGATGTGTTGGAGCATAATGCACAAGCATGTTATGGTCCAACAAGACTAACTCCAGCCATGCCACTCGAAACTTTTACACCAGGATTTTGGGGCGAACTTTGCGATCAACTAATCGATTAACTGATCAATTGTTGCAGCTACGTTCTATTTGCAGGGTGTTTGGTGTTGTGGACATTTGCTCACTGGAATTATTTCTACTGGGACAGGACAGAGCTTTTGTAAAAGCTACAAGTGTCTTGTCATTGAGATATTTCTCTCTATCTCGGACTGACGGGCATTACCAACTGTCGCCCTATACAACTTTCATGAGTAAAAAAAAAAAAAAAAGCATCTGTCCAACAGCGCTTAGGTAGAGCATCCTAATGGGGTTCACAGTACGTTGTGTTCATTTGCAATGTCAGGATAAAGTAGCTTGTGTCCACGTGTTCACTTCAGGCTGTGCGTCTGAAATGTTGTAACGATTTGTGTTGCCCTCATGTCAGCATGATATCATCTTTGCAACACACTTTTGGCTGGCTGTTTTTATTGTGTGTGTGTGTGTGTGTGTGCTCTCTGTAGGGGAGAAATCTCTCCATCTGCTGTTAGGGCACCATGGATTTGCTTTTCCCTGACTCGGCACTTCTTCTTAAACACTCACTCTTTAAATACATACAGGCGCACACACACCCTTCTCAGTATTCAAAGTGTCATTATCTTGTTGCAGCCTTTTCCATCACCTCCAATGCTTCATAATCAGGTCCTGCCATAGTTCTCGTCTCACTCTCACGCCAGCATCGTCCAAACTAGAAATAACATTGCAGCTGGATGATGGAACAAAGGTCGGCTACTGTTTTGAGGCACAACTCTCACTTTCTGTCTGTCTTTCATCCTCTGCAGTCTCTCTTACTCTTGCAATGACAAAAACCAAGTGTCTTTTCTTTCAGACAGTTCTTATCTTACCTTCTGACTTTCAACAGGTTCAACATATCTGAATAAAAACTCATCCAACGGATCATGAGGGGTGATGTTTATTTCCTTTTCGGAACCGTTTAGAACTGAACTTCTGAGCTTAATTTAGAAAAGAGTCTTAAAAGGATTGTGCCAAAAGATTAAATTAGGAATTTGAGCACAGGACATTGACTGGACACCAGCAAAATAATGTGGAGTTTATTGGAATATATCAGTTTTTGTTTTGAATGTTTAAAGGTGAGTGAAAAGATCAAATATCAGGATGGAAATCAGACTTTAAAATTATTTTTGAAGCAATGTACTTTCTCTCCTCCTCTCTCATGGCATAAACACATTACTAGTCCTTTTTATACCTCCAGACCTTTTAATAGACTGGATGTGTTTACATGCCATTTTTTTCTCTTCCCTTAACAGAAGTATACAGTAGACTTGCCTACTGCTTGGTGAACAGCATCTTCTTGAAGCAGGAAAGACATTTGTTTTATGCCTATAGAAAATCAGTTTAACAAATCTGCTCCTTTTGAATGCATTTTAAACTGAAAAGTAAAATGTAAAAAATGACCAGTCACACTGTAGCAGTCAAAAGATTATTTAAATATATATAGTGGTATTATTTTCACATAATCTGCATATTTTTCCATTATAGTCTGCTATTGCACAGACAGACGTCCTCCAGGCTTGTACAGTAATCTCATACATCCCTATATATGTCCTCCCCAGCTGCTGCAACAGCTGTCGCCAGGACAGAAAGGAGGCATGTTTACCCTGAAAATCATACGAGGGAGGTTAGCGCTGCAAATCACTGTTGAAAAGACAAACGCTCAGCTCAGTGATTTTAGGTCATATCAGTGGGGAAATGGGAGTGAAGGATTTGTCAGCATATTCCACTCACCCTCATAGTAGCGTCACCTTGGTAGTCCCATAAAAATCATGAGCAGATGTATTAAATGTCAGGACGCATCTTGACACTTCAGTTGTAGAAAGTCATCAAATTGCTTTAAATACCATCCTGGTGCTGCACAGTCAAATCCATTTCCTCCATATGTGTGCATCTAATACACTTAATGTCTTTGATTATGAGGATTTATTATTTGTCACCATGAAACCAGAGGAAGATGTATTACAGCAGGGGTGTCAAACTCATCTTCACTCCGGGCCACATCAGCATCATGGTTTCCCTCAAAGGGCCGGTTGTAACTGTAAGACTGTATAACTGTAACTACTCCTAACATATTGTTAAATAACTCTCTGCTTTTGATTATTGTTTATTCAAGTGTAAAAATATTGTACATGTAGTTATATAAATGTAAAATGATATTTAAGCACATTTCTGTTATTATAACATAAATCATTTTAATTTAGGGTTAATAAACCCACATTACTCTATCAAAGATCAAACTATTAAAGAAAATAACAAAGACAAATATCATCAAACACAAGTTATTACATTAACTTTGTTCAAAGCTATTGTTGTCACCTCTCTGCATCACTAATGTCCCTCCCTGCCGTCGTCCCGTGCATGGCAGCTACATCCAAGAGCTCCTCACTGAGAGTCAGGTCTGCCTTGAGCCTCTTATGCACATTGGTAGATGATGTATCTCGTCTCTTAGCTAGCTGTGTTGTTAGATTGCTGCTAGTTCCTGAACTCGGTCTGCGATGGTGTTTCTTCACAAACTGACATTTGTAAAAGTCTGTATCTGGTCAGAGCTCACCTGCTCACGTACCTTTAGCATGCACTGGGCTGTAGCTTTTGTAAATATATTCTGCTGTGATTGCAGTCTGCCTTTTAATTCTTGGACAATTTGATGTTTTTCTTGGAGGCTAAATTTAGCTCCGTGTTTGGTGTCAAAATGCCGACATGAATTGTATCCTTCATCACCGACACGCATCATAACACAGAAGACAGACCGTTTGTTCTCCTTGAAGCACAGACATATATTCGCTTTCCCATCTTAAATTACATCTTCTTCCCTCTGCATCAATTTTTCTCTTCGTGGACATTTTGGGATTATTTGTCGATCTTTTTCAACTCAATCACTTGTTGGAAAACCTCTTTACGGGCTGTTGCCTCTCCTGTTCACCTCAGTGATAGTTTTAATGTCGGTACACAGACAACATGCTATCTCATAATTTCAACTTTCTATCTCATAATTTCAACCATGGGGATATTTTTATTTTCAAGTTTAACTTAATTTTTTTTTTCCAAAATTAAAAAAAAAAAAAAACTTTTTTTTTTTTTGCTGGTGGATTCGCGGGCCACATAAAATGACGTGGCGGGCCGGATTCGACCCGCGGGCCTTGAGTTTGACACGTGTGTATTACAGGGTTTTAAATCTGTGAGCATGTAAATAGACTTAAATCAAAGCCAGAAATTGGATAAACTATGTTTATACTAAAGCAGGGTTTCCTCTGAATGTGGTAACTACTAATGACTTTAGAAACAAAGCATTCATTAATATACCTTCCAAGTATCTTAACCCTTCTCTTTAGCATTCCTGTCTGCAAATCCCTTACCACAAATCTATGGACAACAAGCATTTTGTATTCTTATCCAAACTGTGAGATTTTGTATTGGCCAGCTTTAAAATCGTAGCACAAGAGCGTCTACTCCAGATTATAAATTCACAGTTTTAAAGATTAATTTCAAATAGGTTGTAATGAATCCATTTCACTACTGCAATTTGTCTGTCGATCTCTGCTCTTACTTCTGTCACCTCTGCCTGCCTCTGCATCTCCGCTCTACACACACACACACACACACACACACACACACACACACACACACACACACACACCCCTACACCCCTCATCATTAACACAGACTTTTTCTCTCTGCCCCTGTGCAGGAGCTGGAGGTTGGTCCCCTCTCGTCTCAGACAGATACCAGTGGTTGGAGGTTGATCTGGGGAGGCGGACCCGGATCACTGCTGTTGCTACGCAGGGACGCTACGGCAGCTCTGATTGGCTGACGGCTTACCTGTTGATGTTCAGCGACACAGGACACAACTGGAGACAACACCGGCAGGAAGACAGCTTAGGGGTAACTCTCCTGCAATAATCATTAATCAAAACAGTACAAACAGGAAAAGCACAGCTAATCTGCAAAAGCTAATACGTTTAAAAAAAAAAACCTAATGTCGACGGATTACTTTTCTTTTCATTGTTTAGGAACATGACATATACATTCAGTGGTCAAATTGTCCCAACTCCTGTTTTTTTAATGTTCCATGTTTCTAAAATGACTCTGTAGCTCACACCATGATGAGGATGCAGTAACTTTAAACAATATCATTATTTGATATTCAAACAGCTATGAAGACAGCTTCGGAGGTAGTGCAGCTCAAAACTCTAGTGCATTGAAGTTAAAATAAATTTGGCCTTACTATCATAGACATAATTTACATGATCTGTGGGGACTGGTACTGCCTGCAGCGGCAAGCCTGCTCACCAGGAGACTTTCACTCCTTATTAATAATGGATGGCACAATAAAAGGAACCTGGGCAGGGCTCTGTTGACTACATGGAGCTGCTGTCAAACAGTTGAACCTCTGCTGACGGGAGGCTGGTGTCGTTGTTAGAGAGACTGCCTGATGTACAAAAAGTCACAGCTTTGATTCCTGCAGAGGCGAAGGTGTCCATCAGTCTCTGAGCAAGACGCTGATGGTACGCTTGCCAGCTCAGTCATTGTGAGCCAGTCTTGATAAGAGTGTCAGCTCAGTGTCTAAAATGTAAATGTGAATGAGGAAGCTGACTGAGACATGCATGTGGTGATTTGAATATTCTGTAGTGCAGCTGATAATCAAGCTCATGTATGAAGTCCTCCCTGCGGCAGGGAGAAATAACATCTCAGGCACTTTCCTCCGATTTTAATGTGTGTGTATTCCCCCAGTGGGTTTTTGCTCTCAAAATCCTTATTTTCCTGCATTTTATAGCATTTTTAAAAGCTCATAACCATTCCATGTTTCAGTAAAGAGAGAGAATACTGGTCTACACTGATGTTTGTGATAAAGCAACTGTATGTCAGAATGATAGGAAGCCATGCAGGCCTCTGTTGATTGAACAGCATTAGATTTGATTCAGAGGCAGTCAAGCATCTCCTCTCTCCTTTATGGAAGACAGTGCACCCTTCTTGTAGCAGTAGCAGCCCGGAGAACAGCTTTTGATTTAGATTTGACAGGATGCGATTTTCTCATAGTGAAGGATATAAACTCTCTGAAGCCCGGGAGTCATCACTAAAAAGAGAAAGAACAGGGTATGGCTTCTAAAAGCTTAAAAACCTGTTGGTTTGACACCAGATTAGCTCTCGGTGTGTTTCTAAAGCTCCATATATTAGTCAGGCCAGCTTAGCGTGTCAGTTAAGGGGAAGATTTGACTGCAAAAACAGCTGTATCAGTTTCAGCTTCACACTGACTTCGCAGCTTAGATGCTCCCTATTTCTCCCTTTGCTCTGGTGGAATATAAATGCTTAAATTTACTTAAGTACTGTACTTAAGTGTGATTTTGAGGTAGGCCTGTTTTTTTTAATTTTGAGGTGCTACTTTATACTAATCCACTACAAGGCAAATATTCTATATTTTATCTATTTATTTGAAAGCTATAGTCAGTAGTTGCTTTTGAGATGAAGATTTTACTTTGTAACATTGGATTCATTCATGTACATTGCATTCTTAAGAGCATATAAGTTTGTCCGGGTCCCCAGTGTTGGAATGTAACTCAGAACATTTACTGTACTGAAGTACCATTTAGAGCTACTTGTGCTTTACCTGAGTATTTCTATGTCCTGCTACTTTAAACTTCTGCTCCCACACATTTCAAGTGGATAGTACAGCACTCATTTCGTCAGTTTTGCTGCATTGTGCATTTCCCCATTAGCCTCCCACTGCAGAGCTCCAGAGCTCTCCATGGCTGGCACACATAATGGAACATTGCACTTCCTTATGAAGAAATGTTTACATGTCACTGTATTATATTGCACAGTGTATTGTTTGTTTAAGTAGCCGACTAAGTGTATATTTAATCGGCTTCATTGTATCATGTCCATTGTATCACATCATGCCTCACAACCTTCAGCAAAAACACCAAGTTTTTGCGAGACGCCATCGTTATCAGCTCGTAATTTGCCGATAATATGTATGTACTTTTACTTGAGGAACAATTTGAATGCAGAATTTTAACTTGTGTTGGAGTATTTTTACAGTATGGTATTACTGCCGAGTACTTCTTCTACACCTGGTCGCCCCTCCTCCTCCTCTCATGCTCTACCTTTCTCTCTCTCCTTGACTGAGGATTTGTAAGAGGCTACTCCTATTTCTAAAAATGCTCAGGCAAGTAAATGAGATGCTGCTCTCTGAAGCCTCCTCGGCAGGAAACAGAGCTGTTTGTTGAGCTTAACGCTCCGCTGCCCAGCCGGCTCAGCCCTTCAAAGCGCTGAAGACGGCACTGAGATCACAATTACGCAGGACCAGGGAAGACAATTTCACTCACATAGCCACATCACTGCACACTCAGGACACACACTCTCAAGGAGGGAGGACAGACACAGAGCACATACACACAAAAGCACAAATGCAGCTTCTTAATTTTTCCCTCCCCAATGCATGTGTTGGTCTACAGCTGGGGTTAGTGATTCATTTCTTTAAAATAATCTATAATATGACTTATTCTTATCTCTCATAAACAACACTGTATTGCACACCCTTGCACATTTAGTTAACAATAGATGTTGACAACATTTTGTGAAATTATCTCTGTATTTAACCTCTTTGCACAGAAAACACTATTATACCATTTCTGACATATTTTTTTGGTGCATGTTAATACAAGACTTACACATTTACATCTGGATTTACATTTCAATTGCAATCTTTTAATTTGACCCGTAGGCCTTGAACAGAAAAAAATATTTGTCAATGTGATTTTGATAGAATTTTCTATGGGATATTCTGGTTTAGAAATACGGATTTCCTTGCATTGGTACTGGTTGAAAACTATGTATTGACTTTTTTTGGGGCTTGGGACTCATCATATTTCTCTGTATATGGTCCAAAAACAAAAAAGTGTGGCCACCCCTGGTCCTACAGTGTGTGAGCTGTTTGCCTGTCAAGCAGATAATCCTACTGGATTCCCACAGGCAGCTGATTGGGAAAATAGAGCCTGTTAGTCTTTGGAGAGAGGCTTGATACAGAGACAGAATAGGTCCCACAGTTATCGATCACTGGACAGAGGGAGGGAGAGACATCATCAGCAGTTAAGGTCAATGGTCTGTGAGCCTAAAGTTTAAAAACGCAGAGAGACTGTCTTTGGATCCAGGAGGTTAGAGAGTTTTTATGCACGGGAAGTAGTTCATCTATTTCTTTTTAGGATTGTTTCATTACAAACATATTTTCATATCATATTTTTGGTCAAAAGAAAGATTGTAGCTTTTATCCTCTAGGAAGGCTGCAAAACGTCAAATTGAACACATTCCGCTGGTTAGCAACATGATGAGCATTAAAGTACAACTTCAGCAACCAGTAAAATATGGAGGGTTGGATGTAAAATTGAGGCAAACTAGCATGTTCTGTCGTTTCAGGCTTTCCCAGGTAACAGTAATGCAGACACTGTGGTCCAGTACAAGCTGAAACAGCCGGTGATAGCTCGCTACCTCCGCCTAATTCCTCTGGACTGGAACCCCACTGGGAGGATTGGACTCAGACTGGAGATGTATGGATGTCGTTATAGTAAGTCTGATACCTTTAATTGACTTCTTTGTCAGTTTTGTCTTGTGCCTTAAAAAAAGGTCTCTGGACTCAAATGAAGATATAAACCTGAAGTGATGTAACTTTATTTTCAATTTTCCAGTTCAGGTTTATTAACATTGTAGCATTTGTAATATAAAAGTTAAATTAAAAATATATGATAATACCATAGAAATATTAAATAAAGAAATATTCATTATTTTAGAACATTTAGGCATTCGGTGACGTAGATCTAAGATGCTGCATGCAATGAGAAAATAAACAATAGTCATTTTGAGGCATTCGTTTTCTCCACCATATACAAACGGAGACGTCGTAGCCTGTGCTGTCCTTCATACTGCATCGAATACTGGGCTGGTTTTGACAGGAAATTGAGTTCATTGTTTCATGGCACAAAGACAGATTACTGTTTGGTTCAAACAGACTCCAGTTCTTCTTTTCATACTTAACAGTGTTTTCGCTTGTCACATCTTAGAAGAGTTGTGATAAAGGTGCATAGCATATTTTTATGTTGGAAACAGAACATCAGTTTTTAATTGGAGCTTTGAGGAAAACACTGATGATTCTGGTAACACATTGTTTTTTTAGCTCACAGATTCACATGAATTCTGCTTTTACAGCAATACATATTTTTGCTAATGTATCATCAGTATAGCAGACACTAGACCATGTGGTTTAATTACAGTGTTTGAAGCCTTTGTACATTAAAGGGCCAATGGTTTTCTCGCTCAGTAGAAACTGTATTCAGAGAGGAAATCAATACCTTAAAACAATAAAAATACACTCTTGCAGTATAAATGATGGGCTGTGTATTTTTGAGGTTTACAGTGACCACATTGTCTCATAGAGTTTTCAATGAGAATAGAACTAAAATGAAAACTTTTTCGTACATGACAAATTCTTCCGCTGTGAAATACAAGCGATTCCAGCATTTGCGGTCATTGCAACAAACACTCCAATTTGTTTCTGTTCAATTCATTCTGTAGCTTCGGACGTGGCCAACTTTGACGGCAGCAGCAGCCTGGTCTACAGGCGGAGTGTACGGCCGATCTGGAAGCCGATGGAGTTTGTCTCTCTGAAGTTTAAAACCCTCAAGAATTCTGGGACGCTGCTTCATGCGGAGGGAAACAGAGATCACAGCCTCACTTTGGTGTTGGAGAAGGGACGGCTGCTGCTCTACCACCAACAAGGTATCAGCGTTACTCTTCCAATATGTAGATACGATAAGTCAAATGATTCCCAGGGGAAATTCACATGAAACAGATAAAGAACTGTTTGAATGAAATAAAAAATAAATAAAAAAGCAATTAAGGAAATTAGAGGCGCTCTAAAAAGCTATGGTAAATGACCTAATGCTGTATAAGAGCATTGTGCAAACATTTACGCAAAAGAAATCCATGCAGTCGTGCAACTTCTGAAGCCAAGTTGTATGTACTACACAGTAAAATATAAGTTGGGTGTGAGTGATAAACTCAGTACACATAATAAGATATAAATGTATATAATATAATATATATGTAGTGTATCATACATACAGTATACAATACTCTCCTATGAAATATATTTGAAAGAAATGGAAGCAAATACCGTGATATAGCAAATAATATAAAAATAAAATGTATACAGTCATATACTAGTCGAATGGTGTTAACTTTTACTCGTATATGACTGAACCCAACAAATCAAGAACTAATGTATTTAATAATATGGAGTTATATTAAATACAAACGGTATATTGCTGTCAAATCTGTGTGAATGTCATTGTTGTGTGTACTTGCTGCAAACAATGAGCTCAGAGCTTTATAATCTCGTCTTCTTCTTATGTACTCAATATATACTTCTGCCATCTTCTTGATAAAGATTATATCTCGAAAAAATAAAAAATAAATTGCAATCTCTTTAACACAATGTCTGGTTTTAGTGGGGCTGTAGATGAGTACGTGGATGGATCTTGGTGTAAGGCTGCTGAAACTTTGGATATTTGAATTTATCAAGTGTTTTGGAACTTGGACGTCTTTTTTGAAAGCTGCAGCTTTATCTATCTGTTAATTTCTCTCTGAGTAAATGTCGGCTAAATGCCTAAACTGTACAGTGTATGTGTGAATGCACTCTCTCTGCTCACCCACCTCTATATAAGGAATTTAACATCTCACACATTGTTGTCCCAACAATGAAATGGAGGCAGCTTCAAGTCGGTCTCTGTCCATCTGCTTGATTGCTTGTGTGTTTGTCAGATGTGATTTGTAAGATACAACTGATCCAATTTTGAGGAAACTCGGGGGTATTACGCTTCTCTCTGCTTATGCTGATTAACTCAGTACAGTGTTTACTTGTTTATCCATATGTCGCAAGCAATATCTCAGACAAAACTAATCAGACTTTGAATAAACTTGGGGAATTGGTGCTGTTCACCATTGCAGGCGTGTAATTGCAGGTCAGTGACTGTAGAGGAAGACAGCATCATTTGTGAGGGAAAACATGTTTTGTCTTGACTTAGTTTTTTCCCCAGACGTTTTCTCACTTTCCCTCGATCAACTGTGTCTCTCTCTTCCTCGCATTGTTTCTCTCTGTTTGACAGCTGCTTTCATATCCGCTCTTTTACTCTATCACTCACTAATAGGCTTACCGCGGTCGGATACGGACTCAGATGCTGTCCTAACCGGACCCGGACGTATAACTGATGGATATTTGAGAATTATACATGTTGGAGGAGCGCTTCTATTTTAACCTGCGCAGCTTTTCTAACCTTTACCACACTCGTTTAGCAGTCCAGGAAACACATCGACCAATTGCATGCGATGTAATTCATCTCATGTGACGCTACTCAGCCAATCGAATATGTGTATTCCAAAATGCAGCGTGAGTCGAGTGAGATTCACACACAGAAGGGGAGAGACAGGGCGAGAGAGAGAGCAGTGGGAGAAGTAAGTGAGTCGGAGAAGCAATTTCACATGGCATACTTTAAAAAGAGAACAGTGGACCATGAAAACACAGCTTTTAACAAAGAATGGACGGACTCTTATTTGTTCATTCTTCCTGCTGGTGCTGCAAATCCACTCTGTCTCATATGTTCAGATACTGTGGCCATTATTAAATGCGCCAATGTGAAACGCCACTATGAGACCAAACATAAATCTTTTGAGCAAACGTACCCACTCCAATCTGAACTGAGGGCAAGATGTTGAGATGTGTAGAGATTGTTTATTATAAAGTTGACTGAGACCGTTATGATGTGAAATGGATTTAACAAAAGAGAAGAAAAAAGTTAACTCCAGCCAAACTCTTTCATTTTTCATTTTCATTCATTTTTCTAAAATCAAACACTTTCTTTTAAGATGCAAGTATTTCAAAAGTTATTTTTTGTGTATTTTATTTTTAGATGGAGCCAAAATTTTACTTGAAATAAGAGAAGAATATTTATTTATGTATTTCTATGTATTATTTATAATCCATCCAGTTAAATTTAAAAACTGAGAATAATAATTGTTGAAATATAATTGATATGTACTTTCTTTATTTGATTTTGACAGTTGTTGACTACACAGAGACGTTGTTACTACTACTAGGCTTCCTGAATATACAGTATCTGGCACTAAATAGCGCAAGTTAGATATTATTTTAATGTTCCGGACCTTTGCACGAGGAGATTTTCTCAATCTGGACATTTTAGAATTTAAATTGAATACCCCTGCCCTAAAGCATACCTTATCTCCTGTCAGAAGGCCTAGTAAATGTGTGATAGCACAATCTGATACAAATCTGCAGGACCTAATAATAGGTCAAAAATCTTTAACATTAGTACTGGGCTTGGGAATGCCTACCAAACGTTAGGCTAATTTCACCATGTGGAAAAATGTTTAAAATGGTGTGCAGTGGTAAGGAAGGACAATCTGTTACATGCAGACTTTTTTTTTTTTCATCTTGTTTCAGTGATTTGGGGCATGAGAGAATTGTTCCTGGGAATTTAGCTGTAATGTTAGCGCTATATACTGTATTCACTTCACCTGTTAATGACACGCTGCACTTTGATTTGAAAATGGAGCCCATGTCTGATTAAGGCACATTTAATGCAAGCTATTTGTTTTATTAGTGATTTAGCTGGCATTCTATGAGTTTTTAGATAACTGACGTAAGATATGACAGGAAATGAGAGAGAAATGGTGAATGAAATGTAATTTTGGCCCCCTAAGGGGCGCAAACTGGGATGTTACAGAGGTCAGTGACTTAGTTCCCAATGTTAATTTTAGCATGGAATGCAGTTGGAAGAAATGTCTGCAGTGGAAAGGTTGATCCACTAAGATTAAAGTAATGACATTTCAAAGTTGTATTTGAGCATGTTCAAGTAACTACAACAGTTGCATTGTATATAATGATCTTTGAAGAAGACATCTTTCATTCACTACATTAGATTAGATTCACTTTATCGTCCACCTCAGCGGAAATTTGTCTTTGGCTTCTCTGCGGGGAAAAACCTTTGAGTTCATGTCACTTTCAGGCTCCCTGAGCCACATCTTTATGTCTGTTTAATACAACAGTAACATGTCTGCGACCAAGTTTTTCCCTGAAATGATGTTTGAAGAGGGAAAATTATGGGACTGTTAGCAAGTTTCCTTTATGAAATATAATGAACAAGTTCAGTCACAGTTGATCCCCAGAGTTTCCCATCTGGGGATTTTGGCAAGCTTGCAAGAACGGGCACTTGGAAAGCTGTGCTCAACTCATTTCCTTCACGCTTCCCACCACTGGCGATGTAGGTGTTGGACCCTCCCTGCATTCCATCAACGTAGCTGGTCACACTGCATTTTAACATCTGTTAAAACTAAAAGCAGTCATTGCAATTACGTGTAATGCTTACCTATCTGACTGCTGCCCTATCTCTTCATTGTTTGGTTTCTCAAACAACCACACACAATAGCCAATATTTGCTGCATTATGCTCTGCATTGGTTGATTTAATAATTTATCTATGCGGTGGCAGTAGTTGTGCTATGCCTTCTTTACTGTAGAGACTGGATTTCACTTGGTTGGAAATCTGGCCCCAGTAGAGAAGAGGCATTATCTGCTACAGCAATCAGTCTGACATCGGCTTTCTGAACGACGCCTGTCACATCTCCCTGCTAGACCTGAGGTGATAGTCAACAAACTGCTCAACCAACTCCGCGTAGCCGGGAACTAATCTAAACAGTGTTCGTTTTTTTGTATTGGAGCTGAGATTATATTGACATATGATAATCCAGTGATGTAGCCAATACTGAAAAAAAAAAAGAAAATCTATCACAGTACTGTTATTGCATGCTTCACTTTCTGGCTCTTGTTGTTTCCCTGCCTGCCTGGCTGCCCCCCTTTGTTTTTCCATTGTTATTTATTACAGCTTTTCTCATATGTGGCCCCAATTCTGCCCCTGCTATATTTTTTTTTCAGTGGTGATTATTTGCCTTTTCAATTGCATGCTCTTTGTCTTTCTCTCCTTTCTCTCTTTCACACATCCCGTATCTCCCTCACACTCTCCCTGGAGTTTGCAGACTGCAGACAATGTAATTTAGATCAATTGCTTGGAGCATCCACCGTGAGCCACAGCCTGCTCCTCCACCGTCAGCTCTTGGCTCAAGAGAAGAAAAGAAAAGAAGCTTAAACTAGGGTAGCAAAGATAAAACCTGAAGATTGAATGCATTCAATCTTCAATATCCATAGCTCCAGCGTGTGGGCTATTCTCTGGGGCTCTTCATACTTTATCTCTCCCATTTGGCAGCCTGATCCCGTTGGTCCTGGGCCTCTCTTTGTGATCCATGTGGCATCAAGAGATTAACAAGCTGTCTGAGACACAAGAGCTAAAGATGGCAAACGTTGGCTAACATTGAGCATCAGGGATGTGTGTAGCTTATAAACACAAACATAAAGAGCTCGGCTAGAGCAGATGTGCTTTTGTCAGACACTGTGTAACTACTATTAGCATAATTTAATGATGATGAAAAACAGCAAGACAAACATATATGCAGTATAGCAAATAGATAAATACAACAGTAAGATAGTAAAGCCCCCTCTATCCTGTGATTGCCCAAGCAGTTGAAATGAATTGGTTGGCTCATTAGAATGTATGTCCGCTATCCAAAACAATCACATATCCTCTCTGCTTTACATTTATCAAAGTGTCAGTTTGCTCTAATGTAGCAAAACTGCTTCATAATTCAGTTCACTTCTGAACTGTCACAGGGAAGCTGTAATCCACAACAGTAAATGCACCAAGGGCTGGTGTGTCCCGCTCAAGTGCATTCTGGACGAGTGGTGTTAAGTATTGCTGACTGAATCAGGATGGCATTGGAGACGCGTGCAGGCCAAGTTGAACGTTAAGCGAAATCCAGTCTTTTCTCTGGATCAGGACATATTGTGGTTGGTTTCTGGATGCTGGCTGTGTTGTGGTGCAGATAGCCCTGAATAATTCAGATTTTACAGTTATGAAACATCCTCATGATCACATATCATTTCACTTACCGCTTTAGATGAATCTCTCTGTACAAAGTGTGCCTGTTGAGAAAACAGAAGACAATGAATCATGGTAATTACTGTTGCATTTGCGTACTCTACTCCACTTTTTTTTGAACAGTGATTTACAGTGAGCGTCCAGGCGTTTCTGTTGTTAGCAGCCTCATACGAATTTCAGTAAGCAGCCTCTGTATTTTCAGAGCCTGAAATTGCTAAAATAGCCATGGGACTCTTACTGTAACACACTCCCCTGCTGGATAATAAGTTGCTTACTGTTGATCCTTCTGTGTGCAGCAGCAATACGGTTTGTATCTCAAAATAAAGATAAGCTACACATATAGCTAAACAGTCAGGGGAATGTAAATGATTTGCCTCTGACGATGGTGGAGAAGAGAGACATTTTGTTTTGACATTTTTGAAAAGCAACATTTTGTGACATGTTTGCCTTTATTTGTGATAGTGGATAGTAGAGAGGTGACAGACAATAAGGGTAGAGAGGAGGGACGACATGCAGCAAAGGTCCATGGTCTGACTCAAACCAGGGACATCGTGATTACATGGTCAGTTTTAAACTCTTTGTCAGGATGTAAGTCGACAAATTCTACCCAGACTTGCTGATAAACATTTGCCTTATTTGGTTGTGAAGCTGTAGCAGTGACTAAATCTGCCCACAGATGGACTGTCTGTTAGAATCTCTATTTGTTTTACAAATGTCATCAAGTGTTAAAAGATATAAATACCTTGTTTAAGTCCAATTCTTTTTTATGTATTATTTACCCTATGTCTGTTTATAAAAATGCTTTGGCTACATGTTTTTTTTTTGTTTTTTTTTATCAAAACAGCATGCCGTATTAATACCATATTAATTGAACTGAAGAGACAGACCTGACACATGAAGTGACATTCCTCCCATGAATTTAACTGTGCTGTTTCCTTTTCTCCCCAGTTTGTTTAATGGTGATAAATTCAATTCCTAACTATGACTAAAGCTGAGAATTGGTTTAGAGAAAATACATCATTTTTATAGTCTAGCTGTATTTCAAATAATGGCACCACGTGACGCTAAAATGCTGAAACAATTATGACAGTCACTCCTGATAAGACCTGTCATTGTCGTCCTTCATAAACAGATTTACAGCTTGAGCAAAGAGCCTTAATGGAGTAGCAGACAGAATATGATTAGGTGATATTGCCTCAGGGAGCTGTCTGGAACACTAGACTCCTGGAAAGTGGAAAGTAGTGTTCAGCGTAGACTTCATAGCTTAAAGACAAGAACATTCAATATTAGCCTACTCAATATGATGTAATATAATATTGTGCCCCTTCTTGGACAAATAAGGCAACGGCAAGTTTGGGTGCTCTCAGACTGAACCTCCTTCCTGACAGCGTCCTCACAGGCGTGAAGGTGAGGAGAGGAAAAGAGAAGAGAATTAAGACTGGAAGGGAGAGAGAGTTTCATGAATGAAAGTGTTTCTATAATTGTTTTACCTCAGACTTCTTGTATCGATCACCACCTCTCTATTTCCAGTTATTCAGGTTGCAACACAATGCATCACCTCATCAAATGGCATTGAAGAAATAGTTAGACATTTGGGAAATGCTGTTATCAGCTCTCTTGTCTGTGCATTAAGTGTGGAACCGGAGCCAGGTTTATCTTAGCTTAGCATAAAAACTGGAAGCAGACGATAAACGTGGCTCCATCTAAAGTTCCCTACTGCCTTAAAAGCGTGAGTTAACTAAACTTAACTTGAGTTGTTTGTTCAAAGTGGGCTCATGACTTGTGAAAATGTAAAACTAGCTGAATTAAGCAACGTCAACCCATCCATGATCTTATTAGACAAAATTGTCTGGGAGTGTGATGATGTACATTACAATCATTTAGCGGACGCTTTTATCCAAAGCGACTTACAATTCTTCAATTTCCATTCATACACCGTAGGCACAGCTACGGGAGCAATTTTGGGGTTAAGTGTCTCGGTCAAGGACACATCGACATACGACTAGCATGTCGTATGTCGATGCACCATAACACAGCCAGCATTTGAACCACCGATCCTCTGAATGAAGGTCGGCTCTGCTCTCCACTTAGCCACGGTCGCCCCAAGTAGTTTAAGGACAGGAAAAACACACAGGGCAGGTGGGTAACACAAAACAAGGACTTCGCCCAGGAGACCGGTGTTTGTGTCTAAAAGTGTTGTTTAATTATTTTGAAGTTATGTTTTCTTTTGCTTAGTTCACTTACTTATTTTTAAGCCAAACCATGATGGTTAAACTTGAGCAAGTGTGTTAGTTTCAATTGACAACATTACCCATGTGTTTTACTGCGAACCATCATAGTTTGATGAGCTGGGCTTCCCAGTATTTCATGACTCCAACTGTCCCGACTCCTGACCAAGCTTCAGTTTGATTCAAAACTAAGCTGTTGAGGTTGCAACGACACCTGTAACTTCAATGCTGAAAACAAAGCAGACAAGCACAAAAAGGTCCAGTTGGTTGCTACTAATGAAATAAAATAAATTTAAGCTGCCATGAGCTTCAAAATTACTACCAGCCTTCAAACAAGGTATCTATACCATTAGTACGTGGAAGTAAGTGACATTACCTTTTCGATATCGATCTCTCCATCTCTCTATCCCCTTTTTAAAGAAAATGTCCTTCATAATTAATGACTTGGTGTATCCTGCTCCTTCTGTTGTAGCTCCTTCTGTCAGCAGAAACTATTTTCTCTCCTAAAAACATTATGGGATGGAGAGATGGACCCACCAATTTGGACCCGCTGGTGTTGGGTCTGTCATTAATTATGTCCTGCTGTCATTTTGCAGCCTCATCATGTATCGTGCTTCTTCCTCCTCCCTGCCGTCATAGAGATATGTGCGCTCTCTAATGAGAGAGGGTGACCTCAGTGACCAGCTCCCTGTTTGAAACAAAGATGGACATTTTTCACTGAAGCTGCAATGTTTCCACGACTTTGTTTTTTTTTAAAATAAAACATGAACCTTGAAATAGGAAGCATTTTAAAATGTTTTTTTAAGCACCTTTGTCCTTGTTAAAAGTGCATTAGAAGGACACAGAATGCCAACTGCAAAGTGTTTTTTAGGGTAGTACACCTCAAGAAAAAAATGTCCTCAGCAGTAATTCCACATACGAGGATTTCTGCATTAGCTGACGACATTGCTCAGCCACCATCAAGACAACGCAATCGATTGTTTTTCACATCCTCGCCTTCCTTGCAGGTGTGAGTTCATCCTCCGGCGGACTGCTTCTTGTTTCTGTGGGTAGTCTGCTGGATGACCAGCACTGGCACCATGTAAAGCTGGAGAGGCTCAGCAGTCACCTCAACCTCACTGTGGATAAAAACACTCATCAGGTTCACATACCAGCTGAGCTCAGCCACTGGGACATTCACCAGGTGAGAGACACTTTTCAGCATACAAAAACACATGTTTTGAAGTGGTTCTCTATTTAGAATGTCTTTTATATACCAAACACCTGTACACGTTGGCTACAAAAAGTTTGTAGTTTTGTCCTTTATGGAATATGGAAGTTATAGTCAGCTTGAGTTCATGTTGGTTGCAATACTGAGCATACTAGAGCATACTGAGTCTATGTATAAAGAGAATGTTTTTTCACTGTCAAAACTTCAGAAACATTTGAATCCTACAGGGGGTGATGGCAGTTATATATTTATTTTTGTGTGTGTTGTTTTTTTGTGCAGCTAAGTCTGGGAGCTGTCCAAAGCCATGGACTGCAGAAACCCGTCCTGTCCAACAGGAACTTTCATGGCTGCATGGAGAACCTGCTCTACAACGACCTGAACCTGATACACCTGGCTAAACGGAACAACCACCAGGCCTCTGTGGTGGTAAGTCAATGTGTTGCTGCATCTTTGGAACATCATTATGGAAATCTGACATTCGGCATTCATCATTAGGACAAGTAGGTGACTGTACATGGGCAATTACGGTGTCAGACGTGTGCATAAGCTTGTTGTTATACTTTTCTTTTATACGCTACAGCAATGCGTGTATTTGGGTCAATGTTATGTCGCGCCATTGTACCCAGTTGAGGGCGGAGCCTGTGTGAGTCTCTACCAAGGTTCGCTCTGATGCCACTCGCTGAAGAAGGTGTAGGATGGCGTCTGCTGCCTTATATACTGTCAAGTCAGCATGTATTTGTATAGGCACATTGATTGGCCGGCTACGTTTATGGAAATATTCAGTGGGCAAATGTGTGCTCGTGATTGGAAACGAGTATTACCGATAGAGTCTAGTAGAGGGCTCCATCTGTGCTTATAGAACTAGGGTTACAATATCGAAATTTATTTTATTCCTCATGCCTTTTCTGCATTAATGTCATAACTATGCTTATGGTCGCTGCAATTAATATTGTCATTATCATTATTTTCATTATCTGTGTCATCTTCGTCTTCATTTTTACACCCGCCATTATCATCATCACCATTGTCATTAGTATCCTCATAATATCCTTCATTATCATCACCAATGTCATTATTGCACATTTGTCAAGTTATAAAGCCCGAAGCAATCAAACTTGAGAAGAAAAGTAGTCTTAGTAATATAAATCGGGGAGGAAAGGAGGTATAGAATGAAAATGAGGACAAGCGCGGAAAGAAGGAAACGGGGAGGAAAGTGAGAAACTGGCACTTTCTGTATAGTAGACATCACAGAAAAGTTTATTTAATATGAGTTTAGAATAATGTGAATCAATGTACAACTTGTGCCTCACGTTGTGCTCAACAGGAGATTTCCCTGAAAACATTATATACTAATCACATCATATATTCATTGTGCTGAGTATCTTTATTTCCCTCCATAGGTTATTTGGTTTTTCTAATGTGTTATGGAAATTTAAACCATGCTTTATTTCATTTTTTATTCATCGTAGAGTTTCTGTTTCCCAATGTCATATTGAGATTAGCAGATATGTGACAAATAGTGTAAGTGGGTGCAAATGCTGAGTGACTCTGATGCCTCCAGTTTTCTAGCTTATTTTAGCTGCTCAGCTAATATCAATATGGTAATAAAAATGTCCTTTTTCAGTTTCCTTTTTTTCACAGAGCTGCTGATGAGACCTTGGTGACATAGAGTCAAACCTTGTCAGCCTCTGCAACTAATGAATATTAATGTTTTATTATCTCTTTCATAATCATTTTCTCTGTCCCTTCCCTCCTTTCGTTCTCAGGGCAATGTGACCTTTTCTTGTGCTGAGCAAGTTTCAGTTGCTGTGACGTTCACTGACTCCCAGAGCTTCCTGCAGTTGCCAGGACTGACATCTTGGTCATCAGGTGTTGTCTCCGTGGCGCTGCAGTTTCGCACGTGGAACAAGGCTGGGCTTCTCTTGACCTTTGACCTCTTACAGCAGGAGGGCACAGTCTGGCTGTACCTGAGCGAGGGCAGACTCCGCCTACAGATTAATAAAGCTGGCAGGGCCCAGCTGGAGTTAAGCGCAGGTTGGTCCAAGCAGGATTTTGCTGAGTTACACCTACAGAGAGGTATGTTACCCATGTTGTTCAGTTTTGTAGCAGAGATGACATAACAAGTTCTCATAGCTCAGATTCATGCCGCAGACATACAACACCAGAAGAGTGTTTTGTCCAAGCACAAAAAACTAACTAAAGAATGTTCAGTCGAAATCTTAAGCATGAAAGTTGTTTCTTGATTTTAAAAAACAAAACCATTGTCTCAAGGTTTGAATTGCATGTCACAGTCTTCCTCAGTGGATAGTTGGCTCAGTCATGGCTCTGCAGTGTTGAACCTCTGACACATGATAATATTAGGAAAAGTCGTAACCCCTGTCAAACCGTCTCTGCAGTGGAAGACCATGAGATGTTGGTGGAAGCTACGATTTTTTTGCTAAATCCAAATTTTTCTTCTGACTCATTAAACTCTTGAAATTTCACATTTCTCCAGATTTGGCAACTCATTATTACAGTAATTTAAGTAACACACAATACAACTTAACTAACTACGTACTTAAAGGAGCTGTATTTCACATTGCGGACGTTAATATAGCAGCAAACAACAACTGTCTAAGTAAGGATATAGTGGAGTAATGTCTACCTGAACAGAGAATGGAGTTGCTCTCCCTCTGTGTGTCTTGTTATCAGAGCTTCTCCTTGCTATTTTGGCATAGCCGGGCTGGCCGCCTGTGCTTTCATTGCATGTAAGTGCATGTGCGCGTGCCCCACTGGTAAGCTCATGGACAATGCTTAGCACTGCTGTCATACAGCAATTGCAGCTGATAATGCCGATCCATCTGATAGCGCCAATGTGTAAGCGTAGCACCCACCCTACGGTTCCCCGTCAGGTAAACACTGTTTGCTCTGTCAACACTTTTGCCATAATTAGCATTGTTAGCACTGGTAGCACCCCTAGCTATGTGCCGCCGGCCTGCTGTCAACATGTAGAGAGCTGTTGAGAGTCAAACAAAATGCTCCCACTCTTGGTTCTTGCACTTTTAAAATCACAACAGCAAACATATCCATAACACTTTCATCAAGTTGAAGGAACTAGTCATGTTCCTGACTTGCTGGAAAACCCAGATAGCAAAAAATAAATAAATCACTTGTACGTGAAGATCATAATGAAAATGGAAACTAACACAAATAGTAAATTTATTTTGCATTTATGTTTGTGTCTGTGTGTGCATAAAGGCTCAGGTCTGAATGATGGTCAGTGGCATCATGTGGAGCTGAACTCCAGACAAGATCATCTGAGCATCACAGTGGACACAGACGAAGGAGCCACGGTTCACACCAGCATCCCACTTCTTCTCACCACAGACAGTCAACTCTTTTTCGGTGGTAAGAAGACATGAAATAAGACATGCATCATGTGTACTGTTTCTGTTGTTGAGCAGTTAAAAAAAACTGATTCATCTGATTGCAGCCACAGCTGAGGAGAGCTGCCGAAAGGGATATATCTTCTAAACTAAAAACCTTCTCTTGTCAAATATTTTAAAGTGTACTTCAAGTAGACCTCAAGATAGGAAAACTGCTGACACGAGGTACTCGGGTTATAATTATCATCATGCCCAGAGAGGAGTGATGTCATAACGCTGCCTAGACTCTCCTCTCTTTCTTTGATGTTTCCTTCCTTCAAATGATGGTTCTCCTCTCCTTTTTTTTTCCTTTCCTCTTTCCCAGTTCCCTTTTTGCTATTCTTTCTTCCATGCATACCCCTCCCTCCAAAGACTTTCCCTTTTAATTTACCTCAAACTTACTTATCCCCCCCCCCCCATCCTGTCTCTGCGGTGCGTGCATTTACTATCCCTCATTTGTCCACACACATACTTGCACACACAAATAAAAGCATATGCTGTAGATGTAAACATTAACCCACTGCACTCATGTCTTTGTCTATTAATAATATTGTGTCCTTAAACACCCTTTTTACCATCCACAACACAAGTCACCTGGTAGTTCAACTGTAAGATTATAGAACACAGTCTCTATAGGACAAAAGAAATACAGTGAGTTTGACTCAAGTGGTGATGTCATTGTTTTAATCCTCAAAGTGAAACACCACATATCGGAAACTCCGTGAGTCATTGTCACTGCCATGAGGAAAGCGGCTCCAACAAAATCTTCTTTTGAGCTCCTAAAATTCAAAGTGACAATAAACAGTGACTCATCCTTCCTCCCTCCTCTGCTGGGAGGTGTTGAACTCTGCGCCTGATGGGCTGACTATAATTAGAGCAATGTAGAGCCTGGAGCAGGAATGCTGTATTTGGCCACAGATTGCCACCATCCAGGATCAACTTCAAGCATTAATCCTGAGTTTATTCACACCCTCTGGCGAAGAGTGGTTTTATATGACAGCCACCTCAGGTCTACCTACGGTAATGGGTTAGATGAGGGTAAACAGAGAATCAAGAATCAGTCTCATCAGATACACGGATAACAAGGTAGAGAACAAAACCCAAAGTAGTAGATTCTGCAACAATGTTTGAGTAATAAGTTACTTGTGCACATTGAATCTGAAAATGCTAGATGCAGTGGTGGAAGATGTACTCAGAAGTATAAATACTCCTGTGTAGAGAAGTACTTTGTCAAAAGTAAAAGGAATTCATTCACAAATTGAAATCAAAAGTCAAAGTAAAAAAGTGTAAAATAATGAAAGTAAAAGTATCTATTATGCAGAATGGTCTATTTAAGAATAATGTATATTGTAATATTGGATTATAATGATTGCTGCAGTAATGTGTACATCACTTTGATGTTGCAGCTGGTAAAGGTGGAGCTAATTGCAGCTACGTTATACACTGCTAGCTTGTGTGTTTTAACCCCCTGTAGAATATTACAGTGAAGTTTAAACATTGTAACAAAGCTGGCATCCGTAACTTCCCACATGAAGTGATGAAGTTAGACGTCTACTGACACTGTTGTTGTTTTTAAAGTAAAATTGATTTAATTCCATGTTTATGGATGATCCTACCAAGAAAACGGCATACAAACAAAATACAAAGCAGCAGACCAACCACTGATTGGGTGTCATGTGTTCCCTCCCTAGGATGCCCTGTTCAGGAGAGCAGTCAGGAGTGTAAGAACCCCTTCAAAGTGTTTCAGGGCTGTATGCGTCTCTTCACTGTGGATAACCAACCTGTTGACCTCATCAAGGTGCAACAAAGGCTCCTGGGAAACTACAGCCACTTGCAGATTGATATGTGTGGCATCATCGACAGGTTAGTATCACCGTCTGAATTGCTTTTGACTGCTGTTTACATGCACCCTGTGTGTGTGTGTGTGTGTGTGTGTGTGTGTGTGTGTGTGTGTGTGTTGGGCTGCCATCATTACCTTTTCTTATGATGTTCCTCTGGTTTGTGTGTTGATTTGGTTTGAAGTGGTTTCCACAGTCAATTTGGGATTTGTGAAAACAGTGATAATAATAAGCACTCAGTTTGTGATTTATTTGCATTTTTCCCCTGGTTTGGACTGCACGTTTAAAATATCCTATTATAAGTGTGTTGCACAGAGACGGTCTCTCCTTTACCATGCTCAATTAGATACAAAGATGGAAAATTTGTGTTTTATTAGTTGCTGGCCTCTTTAAAGTCATTTGAGAACGCAAGTATATACAGAATCAGGGAACTGTAGACGTTCTCAAGGGGCTTTTATTGACGACACAAAAAACATTGGTCAACTGTGCTTCTTAACTAGACATGGCAATCTATGACTCAACAATAGACACCTTAACAAGGGAATAATAATTTAAAGCACACTATATCTGTTAGAAAACAAAACCAACAATGAATTGATCCTGCTAACAAGTATTGTCTCTGTATCCAAAGCCTGAGATAGCTTATTTTTCTGCACCATATAACTCCATTTAACTACTATGTCACAATAAACTTGGCCAATGTAGTTCATTTTCAGTAGACATATATATTCTTTATGAATTCATGAACATTTCCATTTTCAGTTGTAACAAATGGGCTGAGAACTAGGCAGATGAATGCACGGTTGGCTTTGTTTTTTTTATGCGTTGTGTTGATAATAACAAAAATATAGAATATGGCCAGCCTTGTTCTTTAACTGAGCAGTTTGAGAAACACAGACTAGGGAATGAACTGGGGAGTCGTATTAAAGACTCAGCAACCAGAACAAAACTAGTACAGTGTTTATTCAAACCACCAATACGACATTAAGGATTATAAATGGCGCTCACTGGTTGGACTGTCCCAGTGGCTGTCAGTGTGGACGGAAGGTAGTACCTTAGACGGCTCTCTTGCTGCTGACTAAGGGTTCAGGATCTTGGAGAGCGCTGCAGTAGTCTCTCATTTCAGAGTTTACTGCATTTGTAAACTCAGGGCAAAAGGTCTGACACAGTGAATCATGAATCATGCTAGTGGGGATAACGGCGCACATTTTTTTCTCTCGCTGATGCCATTCATGGAGTTGCACTCGGCTGTAAATACTAAAAGTAACGGAAATTGTGTAGCGAATGAAAAAAACAAGACAGCGGTTTATTTTTCGGGTATTACATTTTTGGACACAGCTCCAAAATCTGACATGTGAAAGGTGTTGGTGAAGGGGTGTGTCAGACATTGTTTGAACAAGCACTTTGTTTGAAGTATACTGACACCTTTAGGACACACTTGCTGTCCAAGGCTTTAAAATCTCTGAACTTAGTACTCCCTCCTGCCGACCTCTCTCCTCACTGTATGAGGATGTGTTTTGAAACAAGATCGATGAAGCTGTCAGAAGGCAGTAATTCTGACCTCTTTGCTTCTGTCAGGTTCCTGACAACTCAATAAAACACACACAGAAAAAGAGAAACACAGGTCACCAAGAGGTCCAGTCTTCTTGTTTTGTGTAACTGTCTGTCTGTCTTAAATGTTTCCAACTTTTACCAAGTGCAGTTGGACTAGGGACGAAATGGATGTTAAAAAAATCCAACATAATGGGTGCATTCGTGCACAGACATTGTGTGTTGTCTGCTCTTACACGGAGTTAAAGTATTTTCTCTGGCCATTCACTCTGGCGCCTGCAGGGTAGAAGAAGTGGCCGGATGGTAAATTGTGTTATTCATTTGAGTTGCTTGGCTTCCAATTATTTTACAGAGGAAATTAGGTGTCAGTTTAATCAAAACGTTGATGACGATCTTAAAATGAAATTGAATGTTGAAGAAATGTAATGCTTTAACAAAAAAATAAAAAAACATCATCATCCGTTGTGTTTAGAATTAGCTTTGAATGAACCGCTGTAACAATCAACCTATAAATGTACACTCTGGATGGAAACAAGATAATGAAATTAAATTAGAGAACAGGACAGTTACCATAAAACATTCAGGATTGGGCAGAAAGTGGAAGAAATTAATTGATTGGACATACAAACAAAGTGATCACACCTCTTGTTTATCAAAATAACAGTAAGAAAGCAGTGTATCCTTTGCTGTTGACTGTCATGATTCTAACCAGCATATTTTTTTAACTCTGCGGTGTGATCACAGCGTTTCTTTCAGTGTCTTCCTCGCTGTAGTTACCTGACCTCATTTCCTCAGGTTCACTGTCCCAATACAGTTGATATCAAGTCACTGCCTCCATCTTGCAGCTGCACACTTAATCTTTCCTTCCTTCAGCCCTTTGTCTCACCTCTTCCTCCTCACCCTTTCCCCCATTCCACACTGCACCATCCATGCTTCCTAATTCCAGAATGCTCTGAGCCTATACCTCCTTTGCCTGTTGGTACCTAAGAAGGAGGCCGTTAAGCTGAATAAGGAGGCCTTTTGGGCTTGGCTAGTCCACGGGTCTCTGGAAATAGCAGACAGGTACCGGTTGGCCAGAAGAGCTGCAGCTGCAGCGGTTGCCAAGGCAAAAAAAAAACGGGTGTGTGAGGAGTTTGGAGAGACAATAGTGAAGGACTTTAATTTGGCCTCAGGGAAGTTTTGGCAAACCGAATCAGAAAGGGAAAGCGGGGCTTGGCTCAGGCTGTGCTCAGCAGGAGGGGGAGAACTGCAGACACAGAACTGGGGATATTGTCAAGCAGTGGAAAGAGCACTTTGAAGAACTCCTGAACTCAACCAACACATCCTCATGGAGGTTGTGGTCGAATTCCTAAACTGTTCTCCCCTCGGGTGCTGTCAGTTGTCATTTCTGATTTCCTCATTCACCTCAAGTCTTCATTATATCCAGTGCCCAGTCCTGCTTCACATCCCAACATCGGATCAGCAGCAACTCCCTTCATCACCATCCTCACTAACCACTAACCACGTCATCACTACCCCCTTTAATATACTGTGTCACGATGAGGTCTATTCACCAAGGACTCTTCACTATTCTTCTTTTGTGCACCATGTGATAAATTATTGTTCACTCTAAATGAGATACCTCCTTATTGGAATTAGCTTATTGGTACTCAACTAGAGTTTAATTAAATTGCACTTGGAAGTGTTTTGCAGCTGACTTCTTAATGCTATAGGCCCTCAACAGCAAATGACCTCCCCTCACCTCTAATAGCACCACTTCAACCACAAATACAAAACAGTTTGATCAGAGGCTGTTGAGTTCTGTCTACATTTTAGGAGCAACTCAGTAGATTGGAAATTAAAGAACAAAACATGGTTCCATATCTTGAAAAAAAAGTTTTCTTTAAAAAAAACCTAAATATATAATAAAAGGTTTCTTTGTTTTTTTTGTAGACAGGGTTGGGTGGGAGTTTAAACGTTTTTTCTCTGGCTGATACAATGGTAGTTAACAATAATAACAAAGGTATGTTTTAACGTCAGCTTCCCCTCAGAACATGCACCTGTGCTCCACTTGACAAGGAAAGAAAAACTTGTGAAGTTTTCATTTAAGAGATTGAAACTTTTTTTGTTTTAAGACTGCTTTTATCCAGGTCCCTCCCACGCACCTTCTCATGAGAACAGACAGGTGTGCTGAATGCCTGTTGTTCCTTTTCATACCAAAATCCTTATTTTTAAGTTTTAACAGACACTAAGGTTCTCTCTCTCTCTCTCTCTCTCTCTCTCTCTCTCTCTCTCTCTCTCTCTCTCTCTCTCTCTCTCTCTCTCTGTGCCTCTGTCTGTCTCTCAGGTGCTCCCCCAGTCACTGTGAACATGGAGGTAGATGCACTCAGTCGTGGAGCACCTTCCACTGTAACTGCTCCAACAGCGGCTACAGAGGAGCCACCTGCCACAGCTGTAAGCAACCAGCAACAGGGCATCTGGAGGTCTTTGAAATGCTTGATGCCTAAACTATAACGATGAGAATGGAAGATATTAAAGTCTTGAAATGTGGTCAATACTTTTTAATTACTTTATTATCTGCCATCATTATGCTGTAAGGGCATCATCACCATCAAGTTATTATGATGCATGTGTTGGGTAGTAGAGGCTTATGTTAGTGAAATACTATTTATTTCATGAGCTATTGTGTTTTTCTTATACAAAACAGTTAAACACATTTCACCCCTATTACTGTTATTTTTTTGTGGTTTTAAGATTTTTGTGTCTTGGATAACTGAAAAAGCAAAACTCAATATTGGAAACTATTGACTTTATGTGCAATGTTTCATATCAAATGATGGAGAAACTCTAACACATTGTGGAGGAAGTCTTCGATTAGTAGAAAATAGGATTAATACAGCACTCCAGTAATGTTCTCATTGCTTCTGCTTTAATAACAATGAGACCTCATGTCCCCTAACACTTAAATTACTTTTGTGTTTTTTCCCAACTCCATTGTTTCAGAACTTTAATTAGCCGTGTTCAGTCGGGAATAGACTAAACAGATTGTTGGTACTTTATTATACCGAGTAAATTCAATTTTCATTTAATTTGAAAGGCTTAATTTAAAAGCTTGGCTTCCTCAATTTGACATTTGTTTGCATATTTGTTTGATACATGTATGTATGTGTGCGCAACTCTAGCCCAGTCTAAAGTGATGAGGCAGAGGTTCAACACCCGTCCCTCAAACTGTATAATTTGGTCACAGACAAAGAACCACTTTAAAAAATGTAGCAGTATCTTCTGTTTAAAATCAAACAAACAGAGCATGAAGCAATTTCCCATATTTGGGAGCATAAATAATGAATAAAGACATGGAGGCAATCACTCGTGTTTCTCAAAAAATCTCAAACGAAAAACCCTTTTTTTTGCAGAACAGGCTGATTTGATTAAAGGTGAAAACAAATGGTGTGCCTAAACTGGTCAGTTTTGTGATATGACAATATTCTCCTAATTTTTAACTGCTGCAGTTCTGTGACTAAGCATCTAAACAATGACTAAAGCATCTCTGAACACTTCTGTTGCCCTTTTGTTGCATTTTCCTTCATCAGATACTGTGTAAATCTCATTAAATATGCTTTTAATATAAAATGAGCTTAAACAAGCTTGTGGATAAGTTTGCTTCAAATATGATATGCTGCGTCTTAACAAAAATAGCCTTATTGATAATAAGTACAGAAATAAAGTCTCGCTTTTTTCCACTGCGAGGCAACTGAAGAAAGAACATTGGCCTGCTGATGAAGATGAAAGCCACAATTTTAACGCTCGTCTATTTCAAACAGCACACGTCAAGGACAGAGTCGGAGAAAGAGGTGTTGCTACTTGTTTAGTGATTTGATTTTAGAGGAATATGAGGTTTACAGGCCATTCATTAATATGTTCTCAAACACTTACAGATCAACAGTATTGGCAAACAATAGTAATGACACACACATGCACATAGATACAGAGACATTAATTCTCGTTTGTATGTAAATAGAGACAGTGCTGTAGCTTTCCTCCGCTTAAACATGAACTACTATTTTTCTGTACAAATCTAACATTGAACCCTTCTTTAATTCTGGGGAAAGAACCATGGGTTTCTTTATTGAAAGTTTCTTTGAGATAGTTTTTAAAAGTCTGGGTTGATACACTTCCCACGCCTTTTTATATTTAGTCTTGAAAGCAACTATACTATAATGCTTTTCTTGTTATAACCAGTTCTAAATATTGCTGTCAGAACATTTCAACGAGAATGAAAGACTTCTTGTTAGTCTCAGAACAAACCGCAACATTATTTTAACTCCCTGGCGATATGGAAATGGAAAGGAGAGAAGATAGAAAGATGAAAGCAAAAAAATAAATGAGTGGAAGAAGTCATACAGAGAGAAAGATAGGGAGGGTTGAGGATAGGAGCAAGAGGGTGTTATAGAGCAGAAGAGCAGAGTGAGTCCTAAGGCAGACTGTTCTTTCTACATAAATGGATTTCAACATAGAGACTGCCCACAGTATTTTAGGTGAGTCAAATTAGAAATGAAAGAGATTCAGGCTTTGATTACACTGCCAAATTTTGATTGAATCTTTTCACGCTCTGGTGGTATGATCAGCTCAAGGCTGGGCCAGGTTCACACACTCACAGACACAACTCACCTCTGTGTTTGATTGTTATATCTGGGTAGAAACCTCTTGAGCTGTTTCAGGGAACGGTCTGAAGAGTTTCACTCACATAAGATAAAGAAAAAACGCACGTTTAAAATGCGCTGACCTTTTTTTTTCTGCACTATATTCTAGTGTGCGTGTGTGTGTGTATTTGTGTGTGTGCAAACCTTATGTAACCAGAGGGCGTTATATGAATGTGTTTCACCTATAACTTTAATTGATTGATGCCTTCTTTTTTATCGTTAACCTAAAAGGCATTCACAATGTATTTTAATACAGTTTGGATACAGAACAGGTAGCTTTCCTCAGATCATGTTAATCATTTGCAGTTTTTATCAAAAACTATTTTTGATTATTTGCCTACTGGTTACGTATGACGATAAACTCAAATATGTGGAAAGCAAAATTATCTTTACTTTTTGCAGATTTTGGTGAGAGAATTATAATATATGACATGGTGTTTTATTGTTTTTGGTGATCAGGTAAAATTATAACGGATATTGTCTATCTTGTTATGCACAAATTGAATTATAACTGAATGCACACTTTCTTAACTATTTCAGAGGGACATGACATCTGATTCGGACATGTTTGACACATGTAAAGCATAATGTTTGTTTAGGCCAAGCACTGAAGTCCCACTCAGCCGTCAGAATACCATTGGCTTATTGGTGACTCATCTGGTCAGCGACCAGCTGACTTGTGTTTTATAACCTCTCAGCTCTCACTGATTGCTGTTGCAACTCCTTCCGCCACTCCAACTTCTCCATGTGTCATTGCAGCTCTGGTATAGTTATCTTCATGGGTAGTTCTCCAAGCAGACTCCTTATTGCTGCTTGGAGTCTTTGAGAGCTCCCTCAAGTTTCTAACTGTATAACCATTTGCAATAAATTATCCATTTCTTTATAATGAGTAGCTCTGTCTGAAATGGAGCCAGCAAAGCAGATGGAAGTGTAGTAGTCTTGAAGTTTGCTTGTAGGAGTTGATAGGGGCAATGTTTCCTCACAAATCTGATTGCCAGGATATGTATTATTGTTAATATGCTTTTGTTGCTCTTTCTTTCACAGCGAGATATGAAAAGTCATGTGAGGCGTACAAACACAAAGGCAACACATCAGGACATTATCACATAGACGTGGACGGCAGTGGACCAATCAAACCCCAGCTCATCTACTGTAACATGACAGGTAACACACAAAGACACACATCTTCACACATGAACACACACAATATATTAGTATATTTATTTATCTATTTCTCTCCGTCTGTCTGTCTGTCCACCAGAGGACATGGCATGGATGGTGATCCAGCACAATAACACAGAACTGACAAGAGTGTATTCGTCCCCTGAGAGAAACCAACATTCAGCCCACTTTGACTACGCTTCTGAAGAGGAGCAGTTGGCAGCCATCATCAGCCAATCGGAGCACTGTGAGCAGGAACTGTCCTACCACTGCAGGAAGTCCCGCATCCTCAACACACCAGGTAAGACTTATGCCCACTGATGTTTTCTGTGTATCTGAGTTATTGAGATGGGATACTTCATAATTCATGTGAAATTCATCTTTCATCAAATTAGCAAAACAAGCACTAATTTGCAATAGCTGTGACCATGTCAGCGCAGGAGCATGTGCACACATGTGCGTACATGGTCACAGCTATTGCAAATTAGTGCTTGTTTGTGTGTGTGTGTTTGTGTGTGTGTGTCCATCTTTATCAGCCCAGTTGCTAGGAAAACAATGTTGGCACTGATGTTTCTGCCAACCACAGAATGCATTAAATGCCAAATTTTTTGTATTCGGTCAGAGCAAGTGATGTAGTACAGTAAGCGACGTTGCTGACTGAGGATTTGTAGTAATGGTGTATATTTGTGTGTGTGTGTGTGTGTGTGTGTGTGTGTGTGTGTGTGTGTGTGTGT